CTCAAAACATTCAGCAAAAGCAACCCAAAACTGAAGGTGTTTGCAGTAAAGCCCTAGCAGACAATCTGAAGGGAGGATAAACACAGCACTTGGTGATGTCTATGAGTTCTAGACATTTCAACTCAAGAGTCTCGGTGCAGTTGTTTTTGTCTGCACCCACGTGAATTTACTGGGTTCGCACCTGCCCTAAATCACACCTGGACCAAGTGGGAAAACCAATCAGAGTCCAAAGTGTAAGTTGGAAGGTGTGAAAATCACTTCTGGTTATCTGCTAAGGTCTATTTCTCTTTCTCCTTATCTTCAGTCATTATTTCAAAATAAAGAAGACCGTAGCAAAAAAGGATGACTGTGATTTAAAAATACACACACACACACACACAAAAACTGAAACTGCTACAATTCTTTTGGTTAAATTGCACCTCCTGTTCATTTTTGAAATGCTAATCAAATGCTAAAAGGGAAGTCTTACTTACTTTCTTTTTCTAAACTGGTAGAATATGTTTTTTGCTGCTAGGGTAGTATTCAGTTTTTCCCACTTCAAACATCAATGAAACATGTTTGTGCTCAAGTTTTGTATGCTGTTTTTAAGGAGAGCTTCACACACTCCTGAAACACACCTAAGGGAATTTCTTTTTAACCCCAGACTTTGGTAAACTAACTAAATTATGAACAAAGTAGTAAATCTTGATAAGTGTCCAAGACTTTTATACATAATCACGACTTACCTTCCTAAAGAAGTACTGCGCACTTGAGCGGGGTGTTTCTATTTTCACAGATCAGCACTAAAGGATCATGACCCACATACAAAGGACTGAAAATCGAGAGGCATTGTGGGTGCTTCCTTTTAGAAATTGTCACCCTAGAGAAGTCCTACCAGAAGATTCGGCTAAATATAGCCCCCCAACATCAAAGGTCTTCTTTGAAATTTGTGTGTATGTGTGTCTGCTGCTCAGTCAGGAGCTCTGCCTGGGAGGGAGGCTAATCTGACGGGTACACAAGCCCCCATGCAGACAGACACAATCAAGGAGCTCTTCTCCTCTGGAGGTGCAGCACAAACAGAAACACAAAAATACTTTTTTTTACGTAGACCACGGTGTTCCCTGCTGCTCATTTGCTCTTATCAGCTCACATGACTTACTCTCTCAGCAGGTTCCAGCTTGATGTTTTAGTTTTGACAGTAAATTTCTATTTGAGCGTCTGAAAAAGTGCATACAGGGTGCCACTTTAGTTTATGAAATAGTCATGTCAGTATCACGTGCTCGAGAAATGAAAGGGTTCCTCTGAGTGAATCTTATGCAAACAAAGTCGGGCGCTGCAGTCCCCAGGACACCAGCTGATCATTGATTCTTTTCGGGGTTTGTTCTCTCCATTTAAGCACCAATAATGAGCCTGTTAACAAGAAGAAATGAAAAGGTTTGACACGAAGGTTAACGGCATGCGGCTGGTTTGAAGTAAAGAAGATGTTTTGTTGTTCACAGCACAAATTTAAATTAAGTAAAAATTCTGGGATAGTTTTTGCCTTTATTTCAGAGCAAAATATTGAAAAGACAGATAATCTGACAACATAGAGACTGGGAATGACAAGAAACACACACAAAAAATTATTAAAGCGTATATATTTTCAATTGAATATATATATTTTTGTACTCTATTACCATAGCTCTGCATGATCCACAGTTCAAAATGGTTCAGATTTATCTCATACTAGACCCTGCAGCTCCCGTTCAGTTTATCAGCATTAAAACATTTTAGCTCCTTTTCTTCTCCTGTTAAGCTAGCTTGCATCTTACTGGCTATAACTCATCAACAAAAGATTAAGCTTATTCAAACTTCATCATTGACTCTATGAAGAGCGTTTATACTTGTGTGTGGTGTGCCTACTTTGCTCAACTGTTTCACTGTCAAAACACTAACGTTTTCTTTTTGAGAGTTCATGTCATTCATCTCATTTTGAGCCAATTGAAAAAGCAGTGGCAGAACAAACAGCCAGATTTCAATCGGAGGAAACAAAGATATGAAACAGGACACTCACAGACGATGTAGGCTAGGGAGGTGCACGTTAGGTTTCAGAAGGGTTTGCAGTTATCTAGATTTACGGAAGAATTTTAAATTCCACCTTTCTTTTAATATATATTTGGGCCTTAATGTGATATGGTAAGATAAAAAAGCTGGACAAAAGAGCAGGGCTAACACACACCATAAATTTGAACCCGTGCCATTGCCTACAATAACAACATAAGGCTGCTCAACAGAGTGAGCTAAACTTACACCCTAAATGCAGCATTTAACACTCGTGGATGGGGCATCTGTGCACTTATCCAAAGCCAGATCTGTGTGCCTGATTCACCGTGGTGCATTCATGTCCCTTTGGCTACACAAAGTGACGTTTGTAGGTAAGCAAACTACAAAGATGTGGTTGTGTGCAGTCCTCCAAAACCCGACAGCATGTAGCCTACCAGGGATGATGCTATACGTAGGTTGAACGCTGACTAGTTGTAATGTGGGCTTGAACAGGGAACAGAGTGACTGACACAGACAGTAGACAGAAGTGTTGACTTTGACAACAAATTTTGATTTAGTTTTAGTCCTAATTTAGGCATCTAAATTATTTTAGTCTAGTTTGAGTCAACTAAATATCATAAGATTATGACAGATTAAATCTAAAGTTGCTTTGTCATTTTTTACCAGTGAGTTGCTCCATACATTTAACAAAGCATCTCAGTTTCCATGACAACAAAGACAAAATGTGTCTATATGTCAAATCTTCTCTTCCTCCCAAGCGCTGACATTTTGTCACATTTTCATGAGCATCAGGAAGCATAGGAGCTAGTTATTGTACTGTACTGCTTCCTGGTGGCAGAGAAAATGTGCCCGTCTAACCTTACAGCACCAGAAGATTACTTCTCATTGGATCGCTTCCAAACTCATTCCGCCTTTCTCTCATCTCTCCAGAACATTTTCTTTAACTTTTTATTTGTTGACGGAAGTGTCAACACATTTCATCATAGTTTTTGTCCTCATGCATACATTTTTATTTAGTTATTGATGTTGTCGATGAAAACTGTGACAAAAAATACTGTAACTTCAGTCTCAGATAGAAGCTGAAGGACCAGCAGCAGATCGGTGGTTTCATATATTTTGACAGTGATGACAGTAAGTGATGACACATGGCTACATGTGGATAATGGTCTGCAAAGCTGTGGGTAGGCTCTGCATAGGACCAGTGCACAACAAAGCCTTTCCTTTGACAGGACCATATTAGTGATATTGATTCTCTGAATTTATTAAGAACCAAGAGCAGAAAGAAGTGGAGTGTTTCAAACACTCTGAACATGAGCTTTTTGTTTACCTGTTTGCTTTTGTCCAAACTTCACTATTTAAAGCGGTGACCCCTTTTAACCCTTCGGTGCCCTGAAGATTAGGGGGTTTAAAAATTGTTAATTGGATTCAGATTTTTTCAGTTCCAAACTTTAAAATCTTAAGAAGTTCGGGCTGATGATGTTGATCACACTTTCTAAACGCTGACACATGAAAGAAGCAGACCTCAGTGAGTTCATACATCCCATGTGAGGCTCAGTCACGTCTGATGGCAAAGTTGTTTATACCTGATCCAAGTGGCTGCATTTCAAATGCGAATAGCGTATGCACTTTTTTGGATACTCTCTCCTTCAAAGCATTCAGCCTCACTCTTGTTTGTACATATGAGAAGTGATTGAAGTTATCAGACGGCTTGAGAGAAGATCAAACCCTCTTCTTGCTCTCTCACCTCCACGCACGTTGCCAAAGAAGGCAAGATTTTCTGATTGTTGTTGCTGAAAAGTTCAAGTATAAAACACAAACCATGCAAATGTCTCTAAACTGCCCGATCTTGATGTTGGCCGACTTGCAGCCTGGAGAACCTCAAGGAGTTTTTCAGCCTTTAATGTAAACCCTTTAGGGGCAGTAAGATGAAGTAGGCTTACTGATTCTATCCCCTTTCTTCTTATTCATGAAGTGAACCAAGAAAAACTAACAATTTCATCCTCTTGGGCTCTTAAGCGTACCCATTTTCCCACTTGGTAGTTTTAAGATTAGCTCTTTAACTGATGTAGCTCTGTTTATACAGTTAAAAGTGCAGTAATCTGTGTTTATGGAAACTGAAACCTGCGTACTTTTGGCTTTTCTTGGCCCACATCTACACAACACACAAACTTTTACAGGCGTTGTTTGAAACTTGTAATGCAGGAGCGATGTCATCTAGCCTCACATAAAGTCAAATCACCCCATGCTGCGTACAAGGGGCGATCGGTGGCACAACGCTCCGCCGTTAACTTTAAAACACACAGTTGGATACTTTATAGTCAGGCTTTAACAAGTATGGTTTACAGGCTCTGCTTTAGTGTGAGTAACGCTCCCTCAGATGTGAAAACCCATTCAGCACCTCAGGGGTAGAGTGCTGCGTGTTATCACAGCTGGGATCAGTTTTAACTAGTCTAATTAGCACACAGCTATGAGAATGTATTTAGAAGTCATTTGTACCTCATTTTAACATTGTAAACACTTTGACACACTTTGTTTTAGTAACTGGAGGAGAAATGATGGTCGTGACTTGACTTAAAATGCTGCTACCACAGGGTAAACTATTTTCACCGCACCCGTGTTCCTGTCAGCTGGCAGGACCGCTGCTCCTGTCAGGGAGTCCTCGACATGCTGTCAACTCCATGCAAATTGATTTGATTTCTCCTCTTGGTGTCCAAATTGCATCACTTAGCTCCTGAAATCATACCTTGCCACTTCTCCTCTCTGTTAAATATTCAGGCTCAGCTGTACAAAGGATGGGACAAAAAAAGGAATGCAAAGATAGGGAATTTAATGAATAGAGCTGGGCCGGGGTCAGCTTGTGTAAGCTCTGGCCTGTTCTGATCGTCTCGAAAACACTGAAAAAGACTCACCCTTAATCAAAGTCGCCCTCTCATTCAGTAGTTATTCACATTATAGCTCTTCTTGCTTATCTTCTGCAGGCACAACCAGGCAGCCCAAGGAAGGAGAGGTCCCAGGGGTGGATTATAATTTCGTGACCATTGACCGGTTTATGGAACTGGAGAAAAGTGGAGCCCTGCTAGAGAGTGGAACATATGAAGGTAAGGATTTATTTAAGACACGCTTAATAACGCGTATGATTGCGGCCATTCTTCTTTGTGATATTTCTATATTTTTTTTAAGGAATGTATGCTTCAGTGTGGCACTATGGGTAGTTTTCAGCAGCTTGAATGATTGGGGCTCATCACCTCACGTCCACACACTTCCCCCACACTTACAAGTCTGCTTCCATTTATCCATCTTTTGGCTCTATGGAGATGAGAGTGAAATCTGACATGAAGGACACTAAAATCAATCTAAAGTAAAGTCTCAATGAAACACACACACACACACACAAACATAAACACATACAGTACTTTCATGCTGGCTTTTTCTTGGCTCACTTGAGCCTGAGCTGCAGTGGCTCTTCAGGCTCCTAATCCAGACAAACAGATACTCTCTTCCATCTCTTTCCTGTGGTCAGACAGGCCTGAGGCTTAGATTTTAAACTACTCAAAAAGTCCAGTGCCTAGTTTGCCTGTCCACCTCAACTCTCAGGAGACCCCTACCATTATATAGATAACACATAGCAGCCGACTTTCTTCTCTCCCACCTGACTCCAGCCTGCCGCCCCTGCAGGATGGAGCAAAAAAAAAAGAAAAAGGAAATTGCAGATGGCCAATTTAATGGTCGGTTGCCAGAAGCAATGTTAGATCCTTTTGGCGATGGGAGCTGCCTTCCATGGGGAGAGGGAGACAGAGTTCCTTCTTGCGCGGTCGCTCGGCCATCATACAGCCTTTTATACATTTTAATAATTTAATGGCCAATTAGATGTGGAAGAAAGGAGGAAGGCATGAATTTTAAAGGAAAGAGCTGCCTGGTAAAAAAGGAGAGAAGTTTGACTTGTTAGTAGGAAAAAAATAGGAATTTCTCAGGTTCAATTCCTAGAAAACGTTTCCCGGAGAAAAGCAAACATCCAAAGTCCAAACATCTTACTGTTTTTCTCTATTTTTTTTTAGCAAATATCTTTAATCAGCTGAGTCACAACGTGAAAGAAACTCCAGTTTTTCTTCCTCAGTTAATTTCCACTTACTTTTTCACAGTTGTTATTTTAATTACGTCCCTGGTGTTCTTCAACTTATAAAACAGGAGTCTGGGTGGTAATTTAATGATAGCGTAAAAATATGCCATTGCTATTCGTTTTCATTATTCCAGCGTAATAAAATAATATTTTTGTTTTTTCATGTTTTGATTGTGAGCTCTAAATATTACAATAACCGTACACCTTAGGTTATATTTGCTGTAATGATGAAGCTCGTCAGATAGATAAAGCCATCTGTTACACCATGTGAATGCCAGTTAGAGCCAACATTAACTACTAGGTAGTGAGTTCCAGCCAAAACCAGCTGCAACATTTCTACATATATTGTTGCACAGAGCGATATGAAATGGACATAGTTACAATAACTTGTGACTGTAATTTGAAATAGCTTTAGGGTTGGCTGTTATGGAAAGAGATGTTTACATTTACCACTCTTCCCCATCGAAGATACCCTGGGGAGGGGCGTTACCTCTGCAGAATCCGGTGGGTACATGAAAAGTGTAGCTTAAGCTTTAAAAAATTGCAAAAACAAATGCATTGGAGTTCGCCTGAACAAGTTTTACCAAAACAGTGACATTAACTAAAAGGCAATGAAAAAGCAAAATGTTATTTGTAAATGATTGATGGGCGGGAGGAGTACTAGAGGATGATTTTGCTCAGCGGTGCAGGAGAGATCCTCACTTATCTGGATATGAACCATCTGTGACCAGAGCGATGGTGATCGACTTCACATGGACTACACAGCCCACGTCTTTTCTTGCACATGTGTGTGCACATCGACAACAGGTGGAACTTGAAAATGCTTCTTGTATATCAAGGCTGATGATTAGGCTCTACTTTCTTTCTGTCAGTTGTAGAGAGTTTGGTGTAGTCTGCTGAAGGAACAGAGATGCTGTGGTGGAGATGAGGTCGCCGAATAAACTGTTATCCATCGTTTTTTCTTTTCTATTTATTTTGCTGAGAAAAAAAATCCGTAACAGTATGGATACAACATAGACATGGCTTTCAGTACCTAAAGGCTGCATTATTTTTAATCACCACCAGGGGGCTGGCTCCCCTGGTTGCACAAAGCTGTCCAGTTGTATAGAAGTCTATAGGAAAGTTACTCTCAGCTGCCTTGCTGTGCTCTGTGTTCTGAGGACTTTGTTGGCTAAATCACTAGTTCCAACTCATATTCAATAAAATATGAAGTTCATTTTGTAAATTATGGTTATTATTAGAGTCAGAAAAGAGGATTATTGCCAATGAGCGTACAGTACCCTGGTTCTGTGTCAGATCCACCCCTTGCATGGCAGGTTTACATAAGGGAAAACCTTCAGTGTGAAGCTTCATAACTGGACACTACCCACTTCGATCGCTGCGTCCATCTATTTATACCGTCTCTGCTTTTATTTCATGATTCTGACAAAGAAATCTCAGCTCCTCCTTCCTTTTGTTTCATTTTTGATCTTTTTTTGTTAATTGAGGTGATTTCCTTCTGTTTTTTTAAGAAAAGAAGTTACTTTCAGTAACACTGTAGACTTAAATCACCGTGGCTTTTAGATGTGACAGCATTTCCACCACTTACTCAAACTTCAAAGTCCAGGTTTCTGTGATGCTTCGGGTTATTTAAGTTCACACGCGGAGTATACTTTTTCCTCAGCTTCAGCTCATTAAGGCTCCGGGAATCGTGTCTTTGGTTCAGAGGTTCTAATCCCACCAGTCTCCGTAATCTCTTTAGAGCTGCTCGCTTCTATTTCTTATTGTAGCCTTTCACATTGTGAACATGATGTTTCAATAGGTGCTTCTTCATGTTTCCCTTGATATATGTGTAAAAGTTTGTCTCAGATGCTTGAGCCTAGTTAATTGCGCATAAGCCTTCATGTGCTCTAGCAGGCACACTTGAGTGGATGAGGTCACCGATTTAAAAGGAAGCCTCCAAGGAAAGTAGTGTGTGATCTTTTAAGTGACAGAAGAATCTCTCAGACTTTGGATGAATATAATCCAATGTCTCACTCCTACTCTCATCTGTTTGTTGTGCGAAAAACTCGAAAAGAAAAAGTCCGGTCAGTCACATAAAACTTGCAGTTTTTTCACTCTGTGTGAAAATGCTTTTAGAAGCTTGAGACTTGCAATGGCTTAAGGAAAGACTGTAACTTTGTGGTTTTATTGGTCACTTCACATCTAAAAATGCCAGCACACTTTTTTTTTCCCTTAGGTTTTGAGGTATTGGCTCTTTGTGTGAGCATTTTATAGCATTTTCCAGCTTTTTTGAAGAAAATGATTGATCAAATCAAATCAAATCTCAACAGCACTCATTAAAATAAAAAAAAATATATAAATCCATAAACATGAGGTTATGAGGTTTTCACATTGACTGATGGATACTGTCAACAGTACTGGACTGCTGCCAGTACTTAAACTGAATGACAGTAAAATGTAAAATCAACTTAGACGACTGTGGAAGGAGCTGTTGCATCACAGCCAAATGAAAAGCTGCAGTTCCCAGAGGTAGGGAGTTGGTTCTGAGCAGAGACCGAAACTAAAAGAGCGAGAGAGAGAGATGGTTATTATTCAGTCCAAGTCATGCAGAAACCCATAGTTATATTCCAAGGAAATGCAGGCACTGGGCTAGTAAGTGATTTATATGCAGAGGAGGTAATGAAAGAACTTTGCAATAATAAATATGCTGTTCTTTAAATGGTTGCGATTAGCTCGCAATTAGATGTGTGCAGGTCAAGATTACTTTGCAAGTGTGCACGTCTTTCTGCAGATGATGGTGAATTAGCTGGAACAACATCCAAAGTGCAGAACTCATCTGACATTACAAGGCTAACATCCTAACCCACTCTCGCTTCTCTCATCCTTACTTTCTTTATTCCGCGCCCGTTCTGCTGCCTCTTTGCATCTACATTATGTACACAGGAATTATTTTTCAGTGCTGCTTTTCCTTTATTAAAATTTTATGGAAATGCAGATTTTATTTTTTTAATCTCATGTCATCTCCTGGGATTAACAGAAGCAGATATATTTACTTTTAAGACACTTAAAAAGGGGGCGGGTGGTTCCAACATGTTTTCTTCTGAAGAACTGAGGTTCTTCCCAGTAAAGAGGGAGAGGATAAAATGGGCCAAAATAACAGCTCTTCTAGATGCTTTCTTATATATTAGCAAACCTTTTAACTAAACATGTTCCTTTAAACACTAAGGTAAGCAATGAACCCTGAAACTGTTCAATGGGTCTATATTTTAGAGTGTGTGTGTGGTTAGTTTAAAAGGTTTGGGGAGCTCTGAGCACCCCTGATTTGCATAAAATTGGCTAAATGTAAACTTGATTCAAATGGGGAGAAGCCAAATCAAATCCATTCAGTGAAACTGCAACACTTTGGGAACAGAACGCATTTCCCAGCTGCTGTCGTAGTCAGTGATTGGGAAGTGTGGAAATCACAGAAGCTGTGGACATATACCATCAGAGTGAGGCTGCGCTTTAGCCAAATGTTGCTTTGATCTAAAATTTGCATGTTAAGATGTCCAGAGCTTGTTAGTGATAGATATCTTTTAGATCCCTTCGTCCTGCTCTCATTTTCACAGTGAATTTGACAACTTGGTGATATTATGTGATGTATGAGAATCTAAAGTTCCTTTGCACCCTACTGTACATCTATAGCATTTGTAGAATGTCTGAAAGCGTGGCCCATAGCAAAGCTTTGATTTAAAACTCTAAACTTTGTTTTCCAGATAACTTTTACGGCACCCCAAAGCCTCCGGCTGAGCCCAGCGCTCTGCTGCTAAATGTAACGGACCAGCTGCTCCCGGGCGCCAGACCCAGCTCAGAGGGCAAGAGGAAACGCAACAAGTCAGTCAGCAACATGGAAAAAGCCAGCATTGAGCCCCCCGAGGAGGAGGAGGAGGAGAGACCCATTGTCAATGGCAACGGTGTTGCTGTCACCCCGGGTCAGTCCCGACAGCAACCTCCACAGACGCACAGAGGCAAAGGTCACTTCTGCCGAAGGCTTCATCATGACAGCAGGGTCTGAGGTCACGCTTGGGCTCAGTCTGATCTGCATGTTACAGCGACAGTCTCTTTAAGGGCGGTTGCCTAGCAACAGATGCAGGAACAGATTGCTTTTACATGCATTTCTTCGAAAATGATTTTACGGCAGATTATCGCTTTTAATTGGTTACACAAATATCTTTATGTGTAGTTTAATGACGTGATATATAAACAGTGAACGGCAATTCGCTCTCGCAGTGATTACCTCTGCGGCACAAACAGTTTATGATTAAAGCATTAGTGCTGCTGCTCTCTAGAATTTGATATCATTCATTAGGTACCATTTTTAAACAGTGTCTCAGAACAGATAGCCAAGGGGCAAACACATATTTTGCTCCCCAATTCAACAAAGGCCTGTAGGCTGTTTAAAAATCAACAAGGGCATTTTATTAAGTGCTTTCTCTCATTTGTGAATCAGCCCTGTAGAAAGTGCTGTTATCCTCTTTGTAAATACAGAAAATTGGCAGGAAAGGGGTTTAACATTCTGTGTAACAAGGCCAAACCCCTAGAGCTTGTTGTTATCCATAAACTGATAGAGAAAGGTGCCATTCTCTGCACTGGAAGACTTGACTAAAAAGACGTATCTAAGTATACCTTCTAGTGTGTGCACTTGTTATAACAAGTAAACACACAAACACAGGAGTTGCTCCGTCACGCACTGAAACCCGTGATCACATGAATAGGCGATCATAAAAACACCATTATGAGTTCGAATTTTGTGCTTCCAAATCCAGAGCCACACTTCGGTCCTGTGACTTTCTAAGATGGTTTCATGGCCTCAGGAAAAGACTTTCACTGCACAGCATCAGTCAGAGCGGCACAGAAGCTCAAGGAGTCTGGGTGCTGATTTCAGCTGATCCCTGCACTTACCTTTATATAGTGCTGCAGCTGTATTTTTGGATGTAATTACGGCTATATACTATGGAGCTGTTAAGGTGATATTTTGAGAAGGGAAGTTTGGTTAAAGGATGCAATATTGGTTTCCTTTTGGCAACGATTTCAAACAAGGTAAGATTCATGATTTGCGGAAGAAAAACAAACAGAAAATACTCAGATTAAATGTTCTAAGGGTGAAGTGATGATTTTCCTTTAAATATCATATTTGTTTTACTGGATCAGAGACATAAAATACCTGAATTGATTAAAAGAAATCAGAAGCAAAAAAAGTTAAAAAGTCGATTTTTGTGTGTTTTTTTGCATGTTATTTTACACTTTGACTTTACTTTCGTTTTGTCTGGAGCCTGCCGGACATCATTGCTGTGGATGATAAAATAATATAAATCTCTGACATTGTGATCTCATTAAAACCCAGCATGTAAAAGCTAAGACAAAAGCCCTACTGTATGGTAGTCAACTTTTAACGAAGCTGACATGATTTATGTTTTTACCTGCTTATGAACAGTAATCTCAATCTAGTGGTAGTGGGGGTTTCTTAAAAAGGTTTTGTCGTCTTTGGAGACCCCAAACTGAAGCAGAGCACCACTTTTATGACCAGAATGCCATCGGTTCAAATTTGTAAATGAAGTGTTGAAAAGTTTTTATAAATCAAGAGTGGAAATATCTTCAGCAATAGTGAGATGCTCAAAAACGTCATGCTGAGGCATGTTGTTTGTTAAAGTGGGCAGCTTCTCTCGGCTCGGGAGGAGTTTTGTCTCTGAAAGGGACCGAGTGTGGGCTGACCAGGAGAGCAGAAGGGGAATCAATAGAGCACAGCAGGCTCTGTGATCTAAGCAGATCACTACCTCGTGCTTTCCCTCCCATAGATTATCTCTCAATCCGCTACTTTCATTTGTCCCCTCTTCACTTCCCTCCACCAAACCTCCTCTGGGATGAGCTCACAGTTGCCATCTCTTTCTCTGTCTTCCCATTTTTCTCTCGCTAACACTTTCACACACTGCCACAACTCAAAGTAGGGCATCACCGCCTGCTACTTTCTCAATCTCTATTGTCTCCTCTGATTTATTCATCTTTCTGTCTTGTTAACCTCAATCACTCCCTCTGTTCCCTCCTGTCTTTCCCCAATGTCACCACTTCCTCTCACCTTTTTCTAATCACTCTTTCCTCTTTTTTCTGCCTCCACCCCTAGCCCCTACTCTCAATCAGTCCCTTCACATTTTCCACACTTCAGCTCCCTTGTCTTTCACTCTCCTCGCCCTCCCCCGTTCCTCTCCTCTCCGATGATAATGTCATGCCTGACTCATCTTGTCCTGTTGTCACCTCAGAATCAAGTGAACATGAGGACAAGAGCACAGATGCTTCAGGGGACGTCGGCCTGCAGATCAACCCAGCAGAGGCCCCGAGCGAGGTACCCAAAGATGACGGACAGATCCCGAAGATGGCAGTGCCCAAACCAGATGAGAACGATGAGCTAGGGCCGCTGCCAGACAACTGGGAGATGGCATACACTGAGAAAGGAGAAGTCTACTTCATAGAGTAAGTGTTTGAATGATATATGCATTCAGACTTTTGAAATTGATGATGTTTATAAGTGATTTTTAAAGACCTCAGCGGGGTGTAAAGTGACAAAAAAAAACTTCAGCTAAAAGAATTTTCTTCTTTTAAAGTAAGGTCTCTGAAAAATGAGCAAAATATAATTTTCTAGAACTTTCCTTTCCTTCACTTTTGTTTTTGCCGTTTTTGAAGTGTTATGTTAAAAAAAAACTTATATCAAGCCTCTTTTGATGATACATGTAAACAAAAAAACTTTTAAAATTGGATTTTGAAAGTTGTTTTGCATTCCCGTAGTTATTGGAATATTTTCTTTTACCTTCAGCCATTTGTTGTGTGTAGCTGTGGAAAGAATGTATACCTGTACAAACTCACGTCACACTAATTATAAATCCTTTAATATAGCAGTCCTCAACCTTTTTTGTGCCACAGACCTTAATCTCAATATTTTCATGGACCGGCCTTTAAGGTGTCGTGGATAAATACAATAAAATAAAACCAGTACTGGTACCAAAAAAATAAGATTTATTCATAACACACAGGAAAAGACCCAGGGAAACCAAGTTAATGATAAAAACGATTTTTTAAAAAAACTATAAAAATCGATAAAACCATTTCACACCTGCCTCAACAATCGCGGCCCCGTACCAAATGACTCACAACCCAGTCCGTGGCTCGGTGATTGGGGACCGCTGCTCTAATATATCAGCTGACCGTTGATGTCACTTTACCAATAAAAATATCTGCTTGCCAATCATCTGTTTGTGTTGGCTGCATGTTAAAAAATATCATGGCACGAAAGGAAACCAGCAAAAATTATTGGTATCAACTATGAGACAAACTGTTGCTTTAAACATTGGTGCTGGGATTATACAAGAATTTCACTAAAGGCATCGCTCTGTATTAATAAGCAGCTTACACATTTCTTAAAAACAAACAAATTGATAATCGATTGAACTGATTGGACAGGTTGACAGGTGAAGTCAGGCATGGACTATAATGCTCAGAAACAACATTGTGATCTGTAGTGAGAGTAGGGACCAGGTGGGAGAGAGCCTGGTGAAGTGGGAGGTATGCTCTGGGGAGAGGAGGAAGGCAGGTGGAAAGGTGAAGATGCAAGGACCACAGGTAGTGAAAGCTGAAGGGGTTTAAATACTTGGGGTCAACTGTCCGAAGGAACGGGCAGTGCCAAACCGAGGTGAGGAAGAGAGCGCAGGCAGGGTGTAGTGGATAGAGACGAGCGTTAGATGATGTATGGTTTGGAAACACTAGCACTGACATAAAGACGGGAAGCTGAGCTGGAGGCAGCAGAGGTAAAGAAGTTAAGATTTTCAATGGGAGTGACCGGGATGGACGGGATGAGAAATGAGTAAGTCAGAGGGACAGCTCTGAATCTGAGCGCCATACTCAGAGATCATATCATTTGCCTTACATCCTAAGAAGATGTGGTGACTTTATGTTTTCAGCACTGTTTAATTGCCTCTGTGCTCAGCACACACACACAGACTATATGTGATACATGGTGGTTTTAAAGATTTAAAGCTCCCCAGAAATACCTTGCTACGTAGAGCTCTTATAAAAGCTCTAAAGTTTAATTCATTGGAGTTGTTAGCATTTTACAGCTGCAGTAAAACCATGGGGTGAATTTTTATTACATAAGAATAATTGAGTTGCTGTGTGTTTTTGCAGTGGTGTGGTGGGAATTGTGTGTGCATTTGAGTTCTTGTAAAACATTAACAAATGTAGATATAGCAGAGAGGGGGTTTTGCAATTGCAAAAAAGTTTGGGGGCTTTTCGGCACCAGTTGATCATTTCAGTGATTAGGAGAAATCTCTCCGTAGAATCAGCTGAATCCCAGCCTGCTTGAGCGCACTCTTTTAACTGCTAGAAGCTTCGCAGCAGCACCAAAGTAAGAAATGAGACAGGGTTGTCAGCCAGCCAGGCACATGTTGTCTCTTCATGTCTATTTGCCACAGATGCAAACTTTTAATTCCTATCCTCTGCAGACAACTCGCCATATGTCTCCTACCCCAAACAGAGAAACCTCATGCTCCCACATCCATCAAGCACATTACACAACTAATTCACTTAGCCTACCGCATTTATAGCATCAAGGGTTTTTTTTCTAGGCATAAGTGATGTAGTGCCAAAATGATCTCAGTTGCCAGAAGGATGCTTGTCTTTGATTGGCCTCCATATAAGATCAATTCGTTTACCTACTGCTCTTGAAGTGAGGTGTCTGAGAAGAGGAATAGACGGAGGAAAAGGGAAGGGAAAAAAAGTGATTAAAAATAGCAAAGGCGGAAAAAAGAGAGGGTGACAGGGAGGACAAGAAAATGAGTAAGGAGGTAGTACGTTTTATATACTATAGGTAGTAATGGAGAAGAAATGACTGAAAGGCTAAAGTACAGGAAAGAAGAGAGAATAAAAAGCTCTGATAAAAAAGATTCAACATTTTTGAAACAGACTTTAACTTGCACTGAAGTTCACTTCATCCTCTTCTGTATTTGGCATGAAGCTTTTTGTTCCTCTTTTATCTGTCCATTTTTTTTCTACTCAGGCTTCTGTTTATAGCTCAAAGGACAGCAATGCACCATTCAATCAGTCTGTTACTTTGGTCCAGACTAAAATACCTCAGTACGCTTTTTTACCTTATAAATATATAAAGATCTCTGCTCTGACATGTTTTGCCTATAACTAATTAAACAATTAATTCAAGAATTAGATCAAGATCAAGAAAATATATATTTTATATATATTTTAATAAAGTATATTTATTTATTTTATTTATTTTCAGTTATTCAATTTCAGGTATTTGTATTTAAAATAACTGATTTTATGACAGAAACGCCTTGTTCTGTACACCATTTAATACTAATCAGCAAATGTCAAAATGTTAACTCAGTTAATTAAGCTACTGAAGTTGGTGAAGATTATACCTGTCACTTTGAGATTTAGCAAAGTAATATAGCTTTTAGTTAGGATCAGTAAAGCGCAAACACAATGTTGCAGGGCTATAACAACAATCTGGTTGTTCTACGTAGTTTTTTATATATATTTATTTTAATTATTCTAATATTCCAGCAATTAGTATTCTAGATAAACATCATCATCCAGCAGGTTGTTGGCACTCTTTTGGGGTTAGGATGTATTTTATCCATATAAAAGCAGAAGATCTTCCCTTTCAAATAAAATTATATACTTTAACAGCTATACAGGTTAGCCTAACCTAACCTTGTGTTAAACCCTTAATATTGAGTAAATGACTAATTTGAAAAGACACCGAGAACCAACAACAATTCGGCAGCTGTATGAGGATGTTGTTATTTTTTTAGCTTATTATTTCAGTTTAATATCCTGTAAATTATGCACTTGGCTATCAGATTTACGGTCTTAGCATCGAGCTGTGTGCTGTTTTTGTGGTCTGTGGGCTTTGTTTCTGGATTTTGTTTAGTTTTTTACATCTTGGGAAGTTTTCAGTTCTCATTTAGTCCTAGTATTTTGAATCTTCTTTTCTAGTTGTATTTCATTACTATTTCTAGTATTCTCATGTGTTTCCTTTTGTCTATCCCCCCTATCTTTCCCATGTGCCAAGCTCAGTCGTGCGTCTGATTCCCTGGTTCCTGTTGCTTACTCCGTGTTTCACTTTGGCAGTTAGTTGTCTTTTGTGACTTACTTTTAGTTTTACTACCTCCCCTGTGATAGTGCTGAATCTGTGAACCCGTGTCTTCTTTCCTCCCAGCTGTGTCTTATCTCCTGATTAGCCCTCAGTGTTTTTATGTGTATAAATAGCCACAGTTTCCCTCTCTCTTTAGTGTCAGTGTCTGTTAACCCTGTTGGTGTGTTTCCTGGTGTTACTCCTGTATGTATGGTACTTCACAGACTCTATGCCAATAAACAGGAGTTGGGTTTTTTTTTTTCTGTTTATCTTGCCTGCTTCCTGACTCTGCATTTGGGTCCTAGCCCCACATTCCTAACAGCGATAAGCTCTATGGAGGTGTTAGCAGAGACTAAAGGTGTTTTCACATCTGCGCTGTTTAGTCCATTTAAATCCAACTCTGGTTCATTTGTGCTGATTTGACCAGACTTGCACTCAAGTGCATCAAGAGGAGCAGTTTAGCAGTTTGTCTCAGGTCCGTTTCTAAACGAGAATGTTTCCTTTATGTTAACATGATCTTCCCATAATCTGACCTGGGTACCAGCTGCATGCTGTAAACTGTAAGAGTAAACAAACTCTAGCCCCTGGCTGTAAAATAAGTCAGGGACTCACTTAATTGTGTTATCCACCAGGCCAGACAAAAGCGACTACTTCTTGTATTTAATTGTGTTGCTGTGTGATCTGAGTGTTCTCATGTGGTTTGTTGTGGCACAATTAGGTTTTCTTGGAGTCTGTTTGGAGTTTTATTTTTGTGAAAAGCAACCAAGCCACAGAGAAAAACTACTAGTTCACAAAGTCACCAGCTGATTCAGACGAGAGTGAACAAAGTGTGTCGGTGTGAAACCGCCCTAAAAGAAGCTGATTCATTGCACTTCAATGAATCAGGTGAGAGAAACATGCCAGACTACTTTTTGCTCGGTGATTACTTTCGTGTATTTCCCTTTGTATTCTTTGTCATCAACAGACTATCACTTAACTTAACTTTATTATCTCTATATTTTGCATTTTGCATGTTTTTAAGACTGTTGTTCCTCTCTGTAAATCTATATGTGTTTGACGCCTAGCTGCGAAGAAAATATCCTGCGGGAAAACAAGTTAAAAGTATTAAAGAGAAAAAAAGATATAAGAAGGTCTCCTCGCTGCATCCTCTTCCTTTATCTTCTCGCTTCCTTTATCTTTTTACTGTAGGCATTTTCTACACCTCCCCTGACTTTTCCCTTCCTACTATTGTTCTGTCATCATGAAGGGAGGCCATTGTGGGTCCAGAGCTTCAGACAAGCCGCGTAGATGCATTGCGCTTCCCTGGCACATCATCATATCTGATCTAGATCCAGCTCTCTGCCTGGGGCTCTGGCTGAATCTGCCAAGCCCACAGCTGTTCCTCTCCATCACTCCCCCAGTCATCCCTCTATCCATTCCTATCCCTTCTCCTCTCCTCCTCCCCCGCCCGCTAATGAGAGACAGTGAGCAAATTAAAAGTATTGATTGCCATTTTGTTAACCTAAAGCATTTTTCGTCTCTCTTGTCACCTTTTTTAGACGCAGGCACTCAAGGGAGTCTCATCTTTCCTCTCTGAAATGATTCTCTGGCTGAATTAAGAATCCACCAACCTCCTTCTCTCTCTTTGTGCCAAGTCTCCTCTCTCTCGCCATCTATCACACTGCCTCTCACGCTCTCTCTGTCTTTTCTTCACAGCCACAACACTAAGACAACATCGTGGCTGGACCCGAGGCTAGCCAAGAAAGCAAAGCCGCCCGAGGAATGCAAAGAGGATGGTGAGTACAGCAGCTCCATCGTTTATTCGTTTTTCCTCTTTTATGCTTTTCTGCCTCTTACATTCACTGATGCTAACTACACACTGGAATGTAAGTGGCTCACGGCATTAATTTCAAGAGATTAAAATCTTGCCTGTTGCTCTGATCAGCTGCATAGTGGCATGATTTCCTGCAAGTCAGTGGAAGGACATTTGCTAAATTGTGTACGCTGGTACAGGATTGGTATGTTTTAGGAGTTATGTAGAGGCAGCGCTAATGTGTGTGGCAGCCCGCGCTGCAGTTGATAGGAAGCCCCGTGATATGTGTGCTTAAAACCCAGGACCAAAGAGACTGGAGGTTACAAAGACTTCTTTATTCTCAACCGAGCGAGATCTGAAGTGTCCTTTATCCACCCACACACTCGATAAACACACAACAAAAAGAAAGGAGAGAGATGAATGTCAATGCATTTTTATAGACAAATACAAATACACAAGTGAGTTGTATCATTCTCTTTTTTTTTCCCACATCCAGCCTTCCTGCTTCCCCTTTCTTTTTGTGCGTGACCAAGAGGGGGTTTATCAACTGAGTTATAGGCGCTGGGGGAGCAGTGCAGTTGAATATGACTGGGGATGGACAGAGATAGAGAAGAGAAGTGACTACCTTGCTTACTTGTTTCTCTTTTCAGTGCATGCTTGTTTATGGTGGGAGGGTAGCAAGGTTTTTTCAGGATGCATATTCCTGGAAGCACATAAATACATTGGACACTGAATGAGTGTTCAGACGGCAAGTCATGTGAGCAAATGACACCTCGCCCCAGGTCAAATTTAACCTGCCCTGTGTTGCCAGTTGTATGACAGACAGTTACATATGTTGGTGTATTGTTTCGTTTTGGAAATGTGGCAAATGATAATTGGAAGTGTATTAATAAACCTTCATGAGGCTACAGTCACAATAGGGAAAACGGTAATTACAGACTTGGCACAAATTATTGCAACAGCGCGGAATGAACTTGTGATCTCGTTCCCTTTTAGCTCATTGCTTTGGAAACAGCGACCAGCTTTGCGACCACTCGCAGTCAGCTGCCGTCTTTAAACTGACTTTGGTGTGTCGAAACAGCAATAACATGGAGTCAGTCTGCTATCGGTCTGTAGCTGTGATTAAATCAGCAGAAATGACAAATCTGTCACCATCTACATTCACAGAAATTCACATTAACCGTTTACTCCAGCCAGAAATGTAGATTTGAAACAGAAGTTCAGAAATTCCTCTACAGATAATGACACAGTTCCTGCAGGCAGGCAGTTGAGTCCCTTGTTGCAAAGAGTTATTGGCAGTTTTTCTGCATTTATAAATTCAGAGTGATTGCAGTTGGTCTTAGAGACAGAAGTTTAGAGACAGAAGGTGACATGTGCCATCATCTTTGGACCAGTTGGTCACTATAGCTACTTGCAATCAGAAGCTGAATGCGGATAGAAAATCAGTAGGCTACCACTGATGTTTTCCTAGTAGCAAGGAGGCTGCCATCCTACTTTTACTTTTTTCTGTGGTCACTGAGCCATAGGCAGATGAGACAACAAGCTTTTGTGAAATAAAGCTGAACAGCCACCTCAGTATAAAACATCTCAGCTATTATATAGAGTTTGAAATCATAACAGCTTTGGTGCTCATCTGCCAGCACAAGGAAACTGATATCTGAAATCAGGAAACTGTGATCTTCTTCCTCTCCTGCTGTGTTTTTGACTATACTTATGTTGCATAATTAAGTTACCTGGAATAAAATATACCTTAAGGTCGCCCAAGCCGAGATTCTACACAAGTCCATCATTTAAAAATTAGGTGAACAAATACTCAAATGGTGCAATATTCCTGCACAGCCCTAGAAATTCAATACAGACACTACTGCCTCCTCTCCACCTACAAATGAATTTCAGCGACTCTGACCTTTCATCTCGCACAAACACCTGATCAGAAATCTAATTTTCACAGCTCTTGACCTAACACCAGTCAGATTCCTTAAAAAACTAGAAAACGGTATGGTATGATATTCATACCAGCTTGCGCTGTTTTGTCTACAACTACTTCCTGCTAAAAATGTTTTCATTTTCATAACTGCATAACTACAGTCTCGCGGAGCTGCATGGTTATTGTTTTTCAATCAACTACACATTAAATATTCCCTGGTGTGTACCATGAAGTTCAATAATATTTACATCCTACATAAAGTACATAAGATGATGAAGGATTCCAGCATGTTTTAAGTGAAAATAGAAATATTTGTATTTGCGGTTTGGTAGCATTAAACATGGAGACTCATAGCCTGTTTTAACCTTCCAAAAAAATTGCCATCCAGATCTTGCCTCTTATTCAAAAGAACCCCCATGTAGTCACAGAAACTCCCTTTTCTCTCTAAATCTTCAGACATTAAAGGGAGAAAGATCTCCAAGATGATGAAATGACACAGAAACAAAGACAAAGGCGCCTGTGAGGAATTAGTCCAAATGTGATTGTGCTTTCATCTCCAAGACTTCCAATCCTATTTATCCACCAAGGACACACCACATGAGGAGATGTGCTGATATTTGCAAGGATCGCTGCTGATCTTCTCGGGGCGTCTCATCCACTTAGTTAGTCCCAGCGGTACGAATCAAAGTCAGGCAAGAGAGTCAGCTGTATAGCAGTTGATAACAGTGGCTTCAGGTCGGGATCAGCTGAATGAAAAAGTTCAGTGACTGCACCTGTAATAAAAAAAAAAGGTAAAAGACGCACCTGTTTGAAATATAGCTGTTATCTCCTTCAAGGTTTTCTCCTTGTGCACCTACAGCACTTATCTGCAAGTTCACTATGCGCCTTAAAGGTTTAGAGATCAAACGACTTCTGTGTTGAAATAACGCAGCTTTAATGTTTAGGATCTCTGGTCATGAGAAACGGGTCTTAGTTTATTTTAACTTCTTGAGGTTTAAGGACGGTCAGCGAAGCATAAATTGTGGTTTCTGTGTCATCATCCGCCAGTACACATGATATTGAATATAAGTAGGTTTTTTCTTCCTCCCCAAAGCTAAGTCTTTGCAACTTCTTCCTCTTTCCCATATTGAAATTCACATTTAATGGAGTCCTGGGAAAACAGTGTGGCTCATCAGGGATACAATCTTGAGGGATACAACAGCCAAATTTAAATTAGTTACAGTTTTTGTTTTTTATAGCTGTAGTCATTAAACTTTGTGACTGCTCAATTCTCAAGTGGAAAACACAGGAGAATTGTTGAGCTCAGTAATAAGTTATAGCTGAATGCTGCACCTCAGCGGGTCAAAATGGGCAAATTTCCTTATAGTTTGGAATATTGAATTTCCTGAAAGAGATTTCTGATTTTGTTACGGTGTTAACTGCAAGCGCACGTTGTTATGTGGGTTAAATCTCGACTTAAAGAATCTTATTTAATTCTGGGATCTTTTTAGCCATCTCACTGCGTCAACATCTCAGCCTCACACAGCCTTGGTTCATTTGACTTTGTGTTCAGGGATTTGTTAATTCCATAATTAAGCTGTTGACCTCTGTATTTATTTAGCTTTCAGATACATTTCTTTTGACGATCCAAGACTTAAAGAACCGCCAGGGAAGATAATACAGTGGTGTGCACTTTGCTCTGCTTTGTAGACTTTAGTAACTCAAAGTGTGTTTCTGTGTCAGCAGCCATACGAGATGTATGTAGTTCAGCCAAACTTCCACAGCCTGGTGACACAAGCCACCCCTGAGAGCTGAGCTCAGTTAGGAGAGAAAAGCTGCCTCTGTAAATTCGGTATTGATTGGGAAAGGTGTGGGCGTGTGCGTGTCCATGTTTGAACCCCAGCCATGCTCTGATAAGCACTAACAGGATCGCGGGGTGGAGTATCTGAGGTGTGACGAGACAACAGGGAGAGAGAAGGAGGAAGAGGAGTACAGTATTAAGTCAGACTTTGAGTGTAGAGGAGAGGAGTGAAAGTGAAGAGCACACATGGAAGAAGTGCTTATACACTGGACTTAAACCGCAATACTTAAGGTTCTTTATTACAAATTTGATAGGAGAATTTTACTGTCACCAGAGTATACTTAAGGAGGAAAGCTTTGCTTTGTTGCAAATTATTTTCTGGTGGTATCACTTCTCTAATTCAACTGTTATCTAGCAATTGTGATTAAACAAAAGGCAAACAAGGCAAGAAAAAAGGAGCCAGATGATCAAGCTTGTTATCATCTAATCCTGTGAGATAATCACCAACCTTAGTTAGAAGGACTTGTGTACTTGGAAAAGTGTGAATATGAAAACAATTTTTTAAATAAATGTATATAAAAGAAAGTGATTAAGTGATCGACAAAGCCACTGTGGCTCTGAGGTAGGTTTCATTCTGTGGAGGGAGAATTTTCTTTGCTCACAGACGAGCCGAATCTCTTACGTCAACACAAGACTAAGGAATATGAAAGCTGCCTGCATAGGTCATACATACTGAAATACGCAATTCTTGGTCACAATTTGCTTTAAGTACTAGTGACGTGTTTAATCTTAGTATAATCTTAGTATAATGCATGATATTTTAAGTGTTTTGGAGGTAAAGCCTTTCATCTTTAAAGCAACTGGTAACTGCAGCTGTCAGACAGATGTTATGGTGTTAAAATCTACAGTTTCCCTCCTAAAATGAGGTGAAATAGAGATTTAAAAAAAACCCAACTGACTGCTTAGAACCTCAGCGCTGTACCTAACAGCCATATGTGAGTAAATGTTTTCACCTCTGGTGAAGACAACTTGTTCCCTCTCATGTTTAAAGTCAGTTGCAACGCATACAACCAGATTCTGTCAAAATATGCGCAGAAATGTGTGCTCGGATTAGGGTGCTCATTCCTGCATGTTCAAAGGAGCGTCAGCTTCAGTGAAGACAGAGCAGCTGACATCACAGGCGCCTTGTAGTTACATAACTCGCTCTATATTTCTCCCTCACTCTTTCTGCCTATATTTTTTTCTCACCTCCACTCTCTACCTCTATATCTTCTAT